TGCGTCCGTAGGCTCTCTCCACCCACCCTGTGCGTCCTGCAGCTCAAACTCAGGTGCTCAGGCTTGGAAACAGAGGAAGCCATCCCGCCAATCCCTCCTTTTTCTATATAGGAAGAAAAAATAAAAATGAGAAAGAGGTCCTGGGATGCAGCTCAGTCGTAGAGCACATGCATGCACAAGGCCCTGGGTTCAGTCTCCAGCACACCGCCCACAAGTGAGGACAACGGTCTTGAACAGATTTTCCCCAAAGAACAGAAGAAAATCTTCAACCACCATATTTAGCATGTTCCATTTCATTAGTTATTGGAACTGCCAGTTAAAACTATTACGGTAGGGATTGAAGAGATGCCTCAGCAGTTTAGAATACTTGCTGTTCTGCCAGAGGGACCCAGGTTCCCCCCATACCCACATTTGGTTCCTAGACATTAAGATTCAATGCTTTCTTCTGGGCTCCAAGGGCACCAGACACACGCATGGTCCACAGACATATATGTAGGAAAAACACTCATAAAATAAAAATATCTTAAAATCAAAACATTATAGTAGATCGCAGGCTGGGGAGGTGGCTCAGGAGGAGAGCATTCAAGTGCCTGGTATATACATGGCCCTGTGTTTGATGCTCACCCTGAGAAGAGGAGAGGGAGAGGAGGAGGGGATTATATAATTCACACCTACTGGAATAGCTATTATAAAAAAACACAAAAATTGCCAGGTGGTGGTGGTGGTGGTGGTGGTGGTGGTGGTGGTGGTGGTGGTGGTGGTGCACGCCTTTAATCCCAGCACTCAGGAGGCAGGGGCAGGCGGATCTCTGTGAGTTCGAGGTCAGCCTAGTCTTCAGAGCGAGTTCCAGAACAGGCTCCAAAGCTACACAGAGAAACCCTTATCTCAAAAAAACCAATACTAGCCAGGCGGTGGTGGCGCACGCCTTTAATCCCAGCACTGGGAGGCAGAGGTAGGTGGATCTGTGAGTTCCAGGCCAGCCTGGGCTACAGAGTGAGTTCCAGGACAGCCAGGGCTACACAGTGAGAACCTGAACCAAAACTAAAACAAGAACTTGTATTTAAATGGTTAGAGTGACATCATCACTCCAGCCAGAAGGCAAAAACAATAGGAATACTCTTGAATGACGGTCCACTGTTCTGTGACCCCACTTTTATTCAGTCATTAAAAGTAAAATTCTGACATATGCTGGGACATGTAAGAATCTTTCAAACATCATGCTAACTGAAATAAGCCAGGCACATATTTTCATGGTCCTGCTCATCTGAGGTGCCCAAGGCTAGCAAAATCATGAATGATTGTAGCTAGATGTTGTGGGGAGGGGCAGCGTGTGTTGGTTACTTTTATTTTTATTTATTTATTGTTACCATGTAGGTCCTGGAGACTGAACTCAGATTGTCAGGCTAAACAGCAGGCATCTTTACCTGATGAGCAATATTGCTAGCCCTGGAGTTATTGTTTTCTTATTAAGATTTTTGTATTTGCAACATGGTCCCTCTCCGTAACCCTGGTTGGCAAGGAACACTCTTTGTAGACCAGGCTGGCTTTGAACTCACAGGCCTTGAACACAGATCGTCTGTTTCTAGAATACTGAGATACTGAGATTAAAGGTGTTGAACAAACACACCTACTCTTAAAATTTTTTATCACTCATTCGTGTGTGTGTGTGTGTGTGTGTGTGTGTGTGTGTGTGTGTGGTGTGTACCCTCAGAAGCCAAAAGAAATGTTGGATATCCTAGAGCTAAAGTTACAGGTAATTATGAGGAAATAAACTAGAGTCCTGTGGAAGAGCAGCAAACGTTCTTAATTGCTGAACCATCTCTCCAGCCCTGGAACTACTTTTTGTTTGTTTTGGTTTTGTTTTTTTGTTTTTGTTTTTTGGTTTTTCGAGACAGGGTTTCTTTGTGTAGCTTTGCGCCTTTCCTGGAACTCACTTGGTAGACCAGGCTGGCCTCGAACTCACAGAGATCCGCCTGCCTCTGCCTCCCGAGTGCTGGGATTAAAGGCGTGCGCCATCACCGCCCGGCTGGTTTTGGTTTTTTGAGACAGGGTTTCTCTGTGTAGCTCTGCCTATCCTGGAACTCACTCTGTAGACCAAGCTGTCCTGAAACTCACAGAGATCCGCCTGCCTCTGCCTCCTGAGTGCTGGGATCAAAGGCGTGCACCACTGCCGCCCAACTCTGGAATTACTTTTCAATGAATACATTTTCTATTTGTGATGTTGTTAAAAAGGGCTGGAAATAGGTAGTGGTGATGGTTGTATAACATTGTGAATATACTTAATGCCACTGAATTGTAGAATTAAGATGATAAATTCTGTTTTCTGTATATTTTACCATGAAAAACCTACACGAAATTACCATTTATTATTTAACATAGTACCAAATTCGAAAGTATCACACTCTCTCTGTTGGAGAAGCTGTAGATAAGCAGGCCTATTCATATTCTGCCAGTGGGGACTGAAAGGACTCTTGTATTGCTAATAAATGCTTGTTTTGCTTACTTGATGATCTGCCTCCTTGGAGATAAAAATATAGCTTGGTGGTGGTGGTGGTGGCGCACACCTTTAGTCCCAGCACTCAGGAGGCAGAGGCAGGCGGATCTCTGTGAGTTCAAGGCCAGCCTGGTCTACAAAGTGAGTTCCAGGACAGCCAGAGCTATGCAGAGAAATCCTGTCTGGGGGTCGGTCAGGGGAGAAAAGAAAAAAGATGAAAACACATGTGCACTTGGTTATCCCTTCCAGGGTTTGCCTTCTTTCTTCCTTTCTTTTCTGTTTTTTTTTTTTCGAGACAGGGTTTCTCTGCGTAGTTTTGCGCCTTTCCAGGAACTCACTTGGTAGACCAGGCTGGACTCGAACTCACAAAGATCCGCCTGCCTCTGCCTCCCGAGTGCTGGGATTAAAGGCGTGCGCCGCCGCCGCCGCCGCCGCCGCCGCCACCACCACCACCGCCCGGCCTTCTTCTTTCTGTGCTAAAGACCAGACCTCTGACCTCATGCACATTGGATGTGCTGCCTGGAGTTTCCGCTTCCAAAGCTGTGATCTAAACAAATGTCATCACAGTGAGGTTGTTTCGTGTATCTTATTATGACCTTCATGATTTGCTTTTTTGCTTATTTTCTTGAAGTACCCAATGTGAAATGTATTTAGAAGGCACAATCTGAATGATAGTTTATTCATCAATACTAAGGTTATATATTACTTCTAGGCCCTCTTAGAAGTGGAGACGGGAAATAGGCAAGTATACTTGTGAGTTCACACTGATACCTCCAGTTTTTTTTCCCTCCTGAGACAGGGTTTCTCTGTGTAGCTTTGTGCCTGTCCTGGAACTCACTTTGTGGATCAGGCTGGCCTTGAACTCAGAGATCTGCCTGCCTCTGCCTCCCGAGTGCTGGGATTAAAAGCTTGTGCTGCCACTGCCTGGCTATTTTTAAAAAACTTTTTAAATTTTATGTGCATTGTTGATGATGTCAGGTCCCCTGGAAATGGATTTACAGACAGTTGTGAGCTGCTATGTAGGGGCTGGGAATTGAACCGGTGAAGAACAGCCAGTGCTCTTAAGTGCTGAGCCGTCTCTCCAGACCCCCAATACCTCCAGTTCTAACTAACGTTGCCAGGTTTGTTCTGTCCTTCTTCTACCTCTCTGTGTTTGTAGCTCTGTTCCTCAACTATAAGGAACTTGGTTTCCAAGCCGGGCATGGTGGCACACTCCTTTAATGTGAGAAAACCAAGCACAGAGAAGGCCAGGGAAGGGAGCATAAAAACAAGCCTGAAAGGGTTGATCAGAATGAGGCTTTTGAAAACCTGAGTGATGAATGTTTCATTCAAGGGCACATGTCCTCTGAAGTGCGGGGAGGGAAGCTAGTCTTTCTAAGGCTTACACCTACCCTTTAGGAGCCAGCTTTATTAAAGGGTGTTTGTTTTTTCCTTCACAATTAAGAAATTTATAAAAAAGAATTTCTAGGCCAAGCAGTGGTGGCACACGCCTTTAATCTCAGCACCAGGAGGCAGATGCAGGCAGATCTCTGTGAGTTTGAGGCCAGTCTGGTCTATAGAGAGAGTTCCATAACCACATGTACACATGCACTAGCACACACACATACCTGTGAACATGTGAGTGCACACACACTAAATTTTAAAAAAGCTGTAGGTTAATGTAATGCAAGCATGTATTATATGACTTTTTCTGAGAAGAAAATATCTATTTATTTTACTTAGGTGACCAATGATGCCTCAAAGAAATGATTCTACCCAAATCAAATCTAGTTTGGTAACCAAGTAATTTCTTGATATTGGGCGAGGAATCAGAGTGTGGGTGACCTGGGCAACCACATCACAGCAAGGCCACTCCAGCATGGTAAAGACAGCTGTGTCTCAATGCCCCCAACCCAATCTGCAGGCAACTCCACCAGTTTCCTCTTGCCCAGCAACTGTCTACTGCCTATATACCTTTGAGACCGCCTAATGAGGTTTTTAACTTTCTAAGCTTCCTGAACCTTGTACACTTTGTTAGGCCTTCAGGGTTTTTTTGTTGTTGTTGTTTTGTTTTGTTTTGTTTTTGTTTTTTGTTTTTTGAGACAAGTTTTCTCTATATAACAGCTCTTGCTGCCCTGGAACTCAAACTCACAGAGATCCTCCTGTCTCTGCCTCTTGAATGCTTGGATTAAAGGCATTCACCACCAGTCTGGCTGGGTCTGAAGTGCCTCCCACGAGGAGAGAATGTTTCAACTCAGAATAACTAAACAGCTCAAGTGGTTTAAAGCATGCTTTTGAAATTTTTGTTGTTATAAAAGATGTTGCCGGGCGGTGGTGGCACACGCCTTTAATCCCAGCACTCGGGAGGCAGAGCCAGGCGGATCTCTGTGAGTTCGAGGCCAGCCTGGGCTACCAAGTGAGCTCCAGGAAAGGCGCAAAACTACGCAGAGAAACCCTGTCTCGAAAAACCAAAAAAAAAAAAAAAAGATGTTATCAGAACAAATAACAAAGTCTCATCTCAATAAGGTTTGTAGATTACAGCATTGCTTCTATGTTACACTCATCTTTTATTTATTCATCTATTTTGTGTATGTGTTTAGGGGACTGGGGGTGGTATCATGCCACACATTAGGAAGTCAGAGGACAACTTGCAGAAGTAGGTTCTGTCCTCCTACCACGCATGTTAAATCCCTTTTCCAGTTGAGCCAATCTTGTTAGCTCTACATTCGTGCTGTTACTGTTGTTGAGAAGGGTCTTGTCTTAATAGTCCAGGCTGGGATCTTCCTGTCTCAGTCTCTTGAGTCCTGGGAGTACAGACATGCATGCCCAGATTTCAATGTTATTTTGATTCTGAAAATTACACTGTGGACATGTAAAAGAATTCACTGTTGTCATGGAAAAAGAACATTTTCCCCATGGGGTTGTCATAAACATTGAATGCACAATTCAGGTACAAAATTTGGCAAAAGATATGAGGAATTTAGATGGGAATTTAGCTTATAGGAAAGGTCTCACTAGAAGTGATATGATCTTTAAAGAAACCACCACCCTTTACTTCCATCCTCCATTACCTTACCATATTAACTCCTAAGGTGTGTCTAGTTTGTGGACGTCTACAAGTATTGGGGACTTCAAAGAAACAGGGAAAGCACAATTCTAGAGCACAGAAATGTGAACTCAAATGTGGTGGCACAAACCTTTAATCCCAGCTCTCAGAAGGCAGAGGCAGGTGGGTCTCTGTGAGTTCAAAGCCAGCCTGGTCTACAGAGAGAGTTCCAGGACAGCCAGGGCTGTTACACAGAGAAACCCTGTCTCGAATCTCACAATTTTGGAATTCTAGTATCTGAGTAAATAAAGTATTTGATGGTAAATTAAAAAGAAACAACAATATCAAATCAAATTCTGGTACTCAAGACTGCAGACAGAGGCAATCAGACATTAGTTTGAAGGCTACAAGGACAGCTTCCTACAACTCTGCTTCGTGGGAGACCATCTTTTAATCAGCCCTAGAAAAAAGGACTTCTAAAAATTAATGAGGGTGGGCTGGAGAGAAGGCTCAGTAAGATCTTACTGTTGTTCCTGCGGAGGAACTAAGTTCGGTTCCAGCACCCACCACCTCAGCGGGCTCACAAGTCCTCAATACCTCTGACCTCCTCAGAACTGCACTCATGTGTGCATACCGTGAACAGACAAACATGTATACACCTAATTTTTAACACATAAATGAAATAGGAAATAGGCTGGGTGTGTAGCTCAGTGGCAGAGCCCTTGCTGGCACATATGAAGACCCTGGGCTCGATTCCCGGCACCGCACTATGCACAGGAAATGGTCCAGTGGAGTTAAAATTTTTAAATAGTTCCTTCTGACACATCCCTTCACACATGGCACAGATTCTACAAGCGAAACCGCTGATCTAGTCTCTACTCTTCTTTTTTTGAGACAGGGTTTCTCTGCCTAGCCTGGCTGTCCCGGAGCTCGTTCTGCAGACCAGGCTGGGCTCGAACTCAGAGATCCGTCTGCCTCTGCCTCCCGAGTGCTGGGATTAAAGGTGCGCGCCACCACCGCCAAGCAAGAGAAACTATTTCTTGTTGGCCTTCCCGCCCTATTTCATCTCCGTCTAAGGTGAAGACTATGGACACCACAGGAGGCTAGCTTGGCTTTTGCTTCAGAACCTGGGCCAGAGCCGGGCTCAAGGGGTTCCAAGGGAGCCAGGAGGCTTGACTCTGAAGCATCTCTCCTGAGAGCGGAAGACCAGGTGCTGTGTGGCCTCACACTTGCTAAGGAAACCCGCGGTCACAGGGCAGAGGTAGAGTTGCTGAGCCATTGCCGCACAGCACAGGTAGACAAAATGGCGGCGCTGCCCGGAGAAGGCGCTCTGCGAGTCTCTCTCTAACGCTGAACTACAACTCCCAGAACTCTCTGCGCGGAAGGCGTGCGTCCGAGCGCGTCTCCGGCGCTGCGGGTTGCGGCCCCTCCCCCTTCCTACAGAGGATTTCCAGAAGACGTTGCCCCTTCGGTGTGGTGCCCCGCCTTTCCCCGCTTCTCCCCGCAGTGCCCGACGGGACTCGGGGTCTTTTGACTTCGCAGTCGAACGTCTCTAGCGCCTAAAAAAAAAAAATTAAAATTAAAAAAAAAAAAAACCCCCAAAAACTATACTTCTCCGTGTGGCTTCAACGCCTGCGCACAACGCACTACGGCTCCCAGAGGGCCCCGCGGCTCTCGTGATTGCGTGCTGACGCACTCGGTCGTGCTGACGTGCAACGCGGTCCAGGCGGGGTGCGAGTGGCGCAGTCGAAGCCCGCTGCGGCCCCTGAGGAAGCGGGCGAGGAGGCGGCGGCGGCGGC